GGCGGTTGCGCTCGGCGTCCGGGACGCGCGGCCCGAACCCGGCTGGCGGCGAAGGCGGCGCGCGCGGACTGGGGAAGCAGGGGGGTCGGCAGAGGCTGCCGGCGGCCGGCGGTTCCAGACCATAATCCCTGCCTCTCTCTCTGTGTCTCCCTGCCTGCTGTGTCCGCTCCTTCCCCCGCCCCCGGAAGCAGGAGGAGACCGACCCCGGGCGGAGCAGCCACCTTCCGACCATGCCCCGGTGAGGGGGGCGGACTTCGAGGGCAACTTGTCGCGGACAGCCGGGGCTGAGCCTGCGAGCTGCGAGCTGCCGGGCCCGGAACTGCACGGCGCGGCCCGGCGGGGGGCTATCGTCTATGTCTTCTTGGGGCACCAGGCGGATCGGGGTCTCGCTGTTGCAGGAAGAGCCCAGCGCTGGTGGCTTCAGGTGGCTGCCACCGCTGCTAGCGTTTCCACCTTTGGTGCGAGGAGCAGAGACTGGCGAGCGGGGAGACCTCGGAGACAGCGAGGCATCGGACATGTGTCAGCACATCTGGGGCGCACATCCGTCGAGCCCGAGGGGAGATTTGCCGGAACAATTCAAACTGCGATATTGATCTTGGGGGTGACTGTCCCTGGCCGGCTGTCGGGTGGGAGAGCGAGTGTGCGCTCGCTTGGGAGTGTGTGCGTGTGTGTATGTGTGTGTGCCGCGTGGGGCTCCCCCCGTCCCCCCCTGTTTTCCCGTCGAGTGATGCACTTGGAATGAGAATCAGAGGATGGAAATAGTCTGGGAGGTGCTTTTTCTTCTTCAAGCCAATTTCATCGTCTGCTTATCAGGTACGGGATGAGTCGGAGGCATGGGCGGGTTTGGATTATACGGTGGTATTTGGAATGTCTGGGGTTTCCTCCTGTAAACGTGGGGCGGGAAAGAAGGGGCTGGCAGACCCTTTTGGTTCTGAGGGTTTGCTCTTTTCAGAATCAAAAATCTTTTAAAGCCCAAGGGTGTGTGTGTGTGTATGTGTGTGTGTGTGTGTGCCTCTGTGTGTGTGTGTGTGCGCGCGCGCGTGTGCGCGCGTGTGTCCATAGTCGGGGGTAGGATCTGTGTGGAGTCCTGGAAGGGAGAAGGATAGGGACGGAGAAGGAGAGGCAGATGGGTGTTGATTTTCCACTGCTTTCCTGGCTGAGAACTCTGGCGCCGAAATCTGAGCACTTGGCAACCCCCACCTCCATCCCCTGGCTTTCAAAGTTCCCAAACTCGGTGATTCCTGGCTGGCAAAATGGATGCAGAGCCCTGCCCTGGTGTCTGTGCCCCGGTATCTATGCACTTTCAAGAGACTGCGGGGAGGATGCGGGGTTGGTGTGTCGGGTTCGTCTCCATCCAGCAGACATCAGAAAGATGTGAAAGTCCTCTTTGCCTTCCCCCAGACATTTGGATTGTGATATTTGAAACCTGGTGGCACGCCCCTCTCCACCCCATATAAAAGAGAAAAAAAAAAAAAACACCTGAAATAACACAGTATCACAAATACCACTTTAGATCTTGATCATTAATTCCCAGTAGCAAGGATGTGCTGGATCTGATCCTGAGCTCAAGCTCCTTGTGCCAGCCTGGGGTTTGGGAAGCAAATGAGAACCCAGGGCATCGAGGTGGATGAAGCCAGGCCTGTGTGTGCCTGTGCCTGACTGTGTGTGGGTCTGGAGGAATTCTCATTTTTGGGCAGTGTCTTTGTGGGTGCAGGAAATTGGGGGTGGGAAGGAGCTGTAAGGAGAAGCCCTAGGACCAGCAGTATTCCCCAGCTCCTGGCTCCTCCCACTGACCAGCACCCACTCCATCTCCCTCCCCACCTGGCATTTAGGCACTCAGGGGAAGCCTATTTGCACTGCCTGCATTCCCTCTGCAGAACTGGGGACTGAGTCAAGTTCCCATGCAGTCAGCACGAGAGGAGAGCAGGAGCCTTGGCTCCCGGAGCAGACACAACTGAACATCCTTGAGGTGCAAGGACAGTTCTAACAACCTCCACCCCATGGAGCCAGACCTGATTCTGTATATTAAAAAACCCTCTCTCTGCCCTTGCTGTGGAGCCAGTTCCAAATATCACTATTTAATTTCCATTCTGTCCTCATCAGGCAGAATGGGAATCTGTTATCCAAAAGCATCCTCTTTCAGACTTGGCCACCCTGCCACAAATGTGCCTGTGTGAGTTATGTTGTGTAACTGGAAGAAAAGAAGAAGTGTCCTGGGGTCACCCCAAGTCCTCTGGCAGGAGCTCTCTTACTCTAGCCTACATTTATGAATCAAAAACCCCAGGTGACTTGCAAGGGTTCCCAGCAGTCGAATGTTCAAGGATGGTCTTTCGGGGGCATCTCATGAGGTCACATTTTACATTTTCTCTTCTCTGTGTCGATTTCAAACTCTTCCTGTTTTCCCAGAATATTTCTCTAGTTATAAAATAGCCTTTCTCTGCCTTCCCCCAGCATCATAAATAATTTCCAAGTCTGACAAACCCTCTATCTCCCTTTAAGATCTCCAAAGAGGTAATATTCTCAGAGGTTCTGGATTTCTCCCAGCAGCCTTTTGTCCCTAGCCTTTACTCTGTATTTTGCCAGGCAATGCCATAAGGAAAAAAGCTGAGAAAGAATCTGTTGTTAGCCTCTGAAAGAGGCCTTAGTGGGATGCCTATCATAGCTGTATTTGATTTGGCATATTAGCCAATAAATTATTCAAATAGAAACATTAGGAGGGGATTATTTCCAACCCAGGAGGAGCTCTATGGAGTGTGTGGCCTTTCACATATATTTACTAAATAATCATCATTGCTATGTAATGAGAGGATAAAAGTGTAAGCAAAATTGCTAGCTATTAGCTAAACACAGAAAACTAGGTTAGCGTTCCAAATGCCTAGTTAAGATCTGCATTAATTTGCACTTTATGAAGACATGTGGGCAAAGATGCAACATTGTGCATTCTATATTTACACATTCACAAACTTAACTTCAAAAGGCCATTCTTTCTCCATGCCCAAGGTGAACTTACAACTACTCAGTGGGACTCCAATATGTCACTATTAATATAATCAGGACTCACAGTTGCCACACTTTGAGGGACTTGAACTTCTTTCTTTGCTTTGACAGCCTTAGAATGTACGGGAATATAAGACGCTAAGGGTGAGTGATTACATCTCAGGGGGAGTTTAGTGGGTCTTTCATTTCTGTTTCCATGATTTGCAGTTTTAATTTAGTCAGACCATGCTCTACCAAAAGGAATATAACCCATGATCACAAACTCCTAAAATATAAATTTAAGAATATAAATAAAAAACAAAGCACTTCCCTACCATCTTAAGATGAGTTTCCCCGATTAGTAAAATGAGCTCTAACCTTTACTGAGTTACTAGATATTGGTGATTGAGGCATTAGTAAGGCTGATTTCATTACTGAGGAATACAAGGGTGAAAAAGCCAGGAAGAAATCTGCAGCACACACATTTTGCAGAAGGAAAATGTTGGTAGTAGCTTTGGCCTATGGTACACATATTGGCTGAATTTCATTTGTTGGCATCTGCTTCCAAGAACACCCTGGGGCTTTAGAGCTTAGTGATTTGTTAACCAAAGGTTCCAACACTCCTTTTCATCCTAGCCCCCAAATTAAAAGTATACCCAAAGAACTTTCTGTCTCTGCCTGTTTGGATATATTGCTTAATGTTCAGATACCTGGTCTTGGAATATTTGTTGGATCTGAAGTAGTAATTTGTTTGGCAAATAGCACTGGAGGTCTGAGTGGCCAGCTTAGCTAGCTGCTGAATAAGTAGTAGGTTCGTCTTCCACTGAAGAGATCGCATCAATTTTAGTGACTTAATGACAATACAGCAAGGCTGAAGAGGGAATGCTGTGATCTGGGAGATCTGGCTCCGCGTTAAACTCAGATCTCATTTTACTGGAAATCTCAAGCAGCCAGGATCTGTGAAGAGACCAAGAAAGGGTGGGAGGGAGAGCAGACCAGAATTTTTCTCTGTGCTAGCAAGAGCGTGATTCTCTTCCTACAAAAGCAGCTCAGATCAGCAAGTGAATGCTCAGCAGCGTGAGAAGAGAATTTCCTGGTCAAAAGACAGCTGCCTAATTTAATTCCTACAATGCATCCTATCTCCCTTCTTACATAACTTCATTTCCTTTTTAGTTTATTCACAGTAATAGCAGCAATGAGGATTTTAACTATGTGATATTTTCACACATTTTAAGTACATTGCAGATGTTTTAACTTTATTCTTAGAATTGGTGGGGCAATTTTGTAGTTGAGACAACCAAAGCTGACAAATGTTTCTCCTAGAGATCCTTTACGTTTGAGTTCAAAATTTCCTTCAAATGTTTCCACTTAATATCTTTTATTTGGATGTCTCTAATTTAAAAAATAAACTGGGCTAAATGGATGAAAGTCTTAGAGTATTTGGAAATATACATTTGAGGCAATTATAGTATAAAGCTAGAATTCAAGTAGCACCTGAGTTGTACATTGCTGTGGCAATCAATCAGGTAAAACTCTTACTCCCTTAATCCAGGGCCCCCAGTGTCCTTTGATCAGCAAGGGCTATTTAGCACATTCTTTGCCTAATCTGAAAATTAAAATGGTCTAACTTTAGTTTCTGTACATGTAGAAAAGGAACAGTGGTACACTTTCTAGTGTACTATTACTCTAATACAACATAATATCAATTATTTATTTATTTCATACAAATCTGACACTGTATAGGTTTGGTTCATGGCGGAATAGAGCTTTGTGTTTTCCTTGTCCTCTTGTTTAAAAGCTAAAAGAAAAAGATCGTAAGGGACCCCATTTTACCACATTGAGCAGGAATCTCACTTTCAAGGAGGGACTTGACTCAGTATTTTGAAATGTTCCTTAATTTTCCTTTCCATACAAATGAGACCAGTAGCATTAGGCTTTTGTATATCATTGTGAATATAACCCATTTTATGGCTGTGAACCCAATATTGCAATGAACCTTGCAAGGTTTACTCAGCTAGTAGCCATATAGTGCTTATTACCCTGGGGATCAACAGACTCTGCCTCATTCTGTTTGTGCAATGCAACTCAACATAGACCCACCTTTAAAGGACTTCCAAAATGGCAAACTGTATATACATTCCATCTGGCTTTAAAGAGAGCATCTCACTAAACAAAACGAGCCCCCCTCAAACAAGCTACCCATCTGATCATCTCATTGGCAACATGATTTCTTTAAATCTAGTATTCTATGTGATGCCACACAGCCAGTCATGGACAGATAACCGTCATTCTAGTTCAGTGGTGGCGAACCATTTAGAACATTCAGTGATACAAGCAACCCACAGTGGCACACATGCCATAGGTTTGCCACCACTGTCCTATATGAATCTCTTCACCCAGTAAGTCAAGAAATTCTTTCTGAGCAACATAAAAGTGTTGCTTTTCCAAGGGGAAAAGTGTCAGTGTGGCAAAACATTCCCTTTGGACCAGGAGAAGGCTTTGATCGCTATTTGAGGAACTTAGTTGCCCGACACCATAACTTATTACCTTAATTAAATATTACCTGTTTTGGCCTTGGGTTTAAGTCAGAAAGACATAGATGTGTATGGTAGCAGGCCATTATAGAAAGAGTGGAAGTCAGAAGACTCCGGGTGTAATGCACCCCTACCCTAATCACCCATATGACTGGCTGATTCTTGTAACCTCTCAGATTCTCAGTTTCCTCATCTGTAAAATGAAAATTATATTTGCTTTGCTTATCTCTAAAGGACTGTTGAGCAAAACATGAGATTGATCCTGAGCCTTCTTTGTACTTTGCAAATGTAGAGTGTTTGTGT